CATACATTTTGTGATGTTCAAAATAGAGTTTGTATGGGCAACAACCGATCTCGCTTTATGTATTTCGTAGGATGACATGATTTATCAAATTTGAAACATGTGAAAAAGTGGAGGATGTACAACACATTTTAGTGGAATACGTCAAAAATGAAGCGGAAAGAAGACATGCATTCTCCATCCTTAAAATTAATAGGGTTCAAACTGGCATAGGACACCCTATGTAATAATTAAGAAATTTTAAGCAAATTGTATGGTCAGTGTGGAGGATAAGGACTGTATGTTTAATTATTATTAAAGAGAAAAGAAAACAGTGGCAGCAGTGACAAGGTAAAACAATCTATTAATGTCAAAGAATAACAATTTCAATAAAAAAAAAAGTATCAAAAACTCATAGACAGAACATAGTGATATAAAAGGTGCGCTATCCGGCCCAGTCAGGTTATGATGGGGCTGGTATGCACAATTTGGTCCAAAAGTCCCTTAAAACAAAAAAAAAACAAACGTTCGCGAAAATCCAAGGGATTTTGTGAAAACACGGATAATTAGACAATGGCGATGACATTGCTCAATCTTACTGTTAAAGATTTTTGAAGTTATACTTCTTTAGGCGCGTTATGAAAAAATGATGAGAGTGAAATTTTAAGATGTGCGCGCATCACTGTAACACAAAAAATTAACAGCATGAAGTTGGTCGCTAAATGCTCTTACTTATGTGTTTACCGCACATTAAGAAAATCTACCAACAAAATAGAAATAGAATCTCTATTTAGTGGGTGCTAACGACTGCATTGTGAAGGCCTATCAAAAGTATTTATTAATCTGGAACAACGGAACCAAAGCGCGATTCAGGAGACTACAGCGCCATCTCTTGACCATTGGTGTAGTAGAACCAAAAACCACAACTTTATTTTTGAAGTTATACTTCTTTAGGCGCGTTATGAAAAAATGATGAGAGTGAAATTTTAAGATGCGCGCGCATCACTGTAACACAAAATTTTAACAGCATGAAGTTGGTCGCTTTAGCGACCAACTTCATGCGTTACTTTTGTGTTTACCGCACATTAAGAAAATCTACCAACAAAATAGAAATAGAATCTCTATTATTTAATGGGTGCTAACGACTGCATTGTGAAGGCCTATCAAAAGTATTTATTAATCTGGAACAACGGAACCAAAGCGCGATTCAGGAGACTACAGCGCCATCTCTTGACCATTGGTGTAGTAGAACCAAAAACCACATCTTTTTTTTGTAATAAAGTAACAAAAAGTATTTATTAATCTGGAACAACGGAACCAAAGCGCGATTCAGGAGACTACAGCGCCATCTCTTGACCATTGGTGTAGTAAAACCAAAAACCACATCTTTATTTTTTGTAATAAAGTAACAGTTATAGGTATTCATATTTATAATATTTATCCACATGTTTCTAGTTTGTATATTCGGAATACGTGTTTGAGTTTCATACAAGTGCAAATCACATATGTTCTAATAAATTATTTTCAGAAGCGATTTTAATTGAATATTTTGATTATTTATTTATTTTTTCAAATTAAAACTGAACTTTATTGACTGTGTCCTTTTCCAGACTTTTTATTAATTTATTGTAATTAATTATTTGCATGCAATTAAAAACTAATTTTAAACGATGCCAAAGAAGGATAACTTCTCACGCGCCTACATAAGTACACGCACCCATTTTTTTTGTAATAAAGTAACAGTTATAGGTATTCATATTTATAATATCAAAAGTATTTATTAATCTGGAACAACGGAACCAAAGCGCGATTCAGGAGACTACAGCGCCATCTCTTGACCATTGGTGTAGTAGAACCAAAAACCACATCTTTATTTTTTGTAATAAAGTAACAGTTATAGGTATTCATATTTATAATATTTATCCACATGTTTCTAGTCTGTATATTCGGAATACGCGTTTGAGTTTCATACAAGTGCAAATCACATAATATGTTCTAATAAATTATATTCAGTAGCGATTTTAATTGAATATTTTGATTATTTATTTATTTTTTCAAATTAAAACTGAACTTTATTGACTGTGTCCTTTTCCAGACTTTTTATTAATTTATTGTAATTAATTATTTGCATGCAATTAAAAACTAATTTTAAACGATGCCAAAGAAGGATAACTTCACACGCGCCTACATAAGTACACGCACCCATTTTTTTTGTAATAAAGTAACAGTTATAGGTATTCATATTTATAATATTTATATATATATATACATACTTATATGACTGATGCGTGCATTGCTCCATTCCCCTATGCCTTATGCACCGCTTAAGGTTAGGTTTTTACATTTTGTGGCACGCTGGCGCCCATGTACCCAGCCATGTGCCCAGTACTTTCATTCCCCTTTTCAATTCTATACAAGTTCTTTCGTAAAACAACTAAAAATAGCTTCAGTCGTCATAGAATTAATTTCGTAATTATGTCCAGTTCCACTGAAGTTTACAGTTAGTGAAACCCCCCAAACAGCAGCACTCATAGAAGAAACGAGTTGTGGTAACATTCGAATGAGAAAACACGTGACTCAATGAAATGTTAAATTAATTTTAAGTTTTTGATTTTTGTTTGACAGTCGTAAGCTTTAAATCATTTATTCAGTCTAGACTTAGGATGGGCTGAAGAAGAAGAATTAGTATTTACTGAATTCCGACCCGCGACCATCATATAAAAATGATAGGCAAATCCAATCAACTATCCATGACTACATTGACCAAAACAGTACCATTTTGACACATGTACCGCCAACGGCAAGGACTGCTGCATTTATTATCAGTGATTGGATTTCTCATTGATTAAAATTGATTGGAGCATCTAGATAACTCGAACTAGAGGGCGTCTCTGAGACTCGGGCCTCGGCTCTAGTTAGTCCTTGTCGTTGGGGGCGGGGAAAAACGCCTAGGTACGTACCTGTACCTGGTATAGCGTGTCGTGCGTAAACCGGGTCTTCGCACTCTAATCTTACGTCACTGCCTAATGCTGAGCTTGTGTGCAAGTCTGCTAGCTGTGTAGTGTTTAGTGTTTGTGACCTGTGTGGGAGGAGTTGGAGGCACATTGTCGCGGGTGATTTCGTCGTCGGGGTACTATAAGACGTGCCTAGGCCGTCGAAAGCGGAGGTACCTACGATTGGAGGACGGGAGGGTGGACGTATGATAACTAATAGCTAAGGGGTTCGGATGATGCGCGGCTTTATCGAAGTAATGTCTCGAGGCGTCTTTCATACACTTCGCGATGGAGTATAACTTTCTGTAATCATATCGTATTGTCATCGTGTTTAATTTTGTATGGGAGGAGCCAGTTTGCTCTTACTTGGAGGGGCTGCTTGGTTTTCATAGAAACTGACAATGTGTTTTTTTTTTGAGTGTGTATGCTGTTGGTTGCAGATGACCTTTACAGCATCACCGGGTTTGGGGTCGGCGATATCCTAAGGGGACCTCAAGCCGAGAATTGGCGAGTGCCTCTAGAGGCATTCCAGGCGGATGGCATCTCCCCACGGGGGGAGTCTCCTCTCCGTCTGGAGCCTCTAGACCACTCGAACCGGAGGGGTGACAATATGATACAATTACGAAACTGTCATTGTTCATGCTTGGGCCTCAGTAGCAGTCCAATTCAGCGATTTCAGATTTATTCAGTGAAAACGACGTTTAAAGTTAACGAAACATCGTTTGTTTCGCCTTTAAACGGCAGAATTCATAGAAGAATAATGGGTCTTCGTCCGCCACTTCATCTGCATGGAGAATTTGTTCCTTTACAAACTTCCACCCCTCTTCTCACATCCTTAAAGAATGCTTTTGGGATAAAAACTAACCTATGTCCTTTTACGGGACTTAAAGTATCTCTGTACCAAATTTCATCTAAATCGGTTCAGCGGTTTAAGCCGAAAGGTAACAGACAGATAGATAGGCACACTTTCGCGCTTATAATTTTGGTATGGATGGAAGTATAGATTAATTATCATTGAGTCATACAATGTATACTAGCTTACAAAAATCATTTGGAACTAAATAATTTTTGTTGCAAAGAAAAGCAGAGCTTGTACTATATAAAATTGTAGATTATTACTCGGAAAGAAATTATTTGTCGTCATCATTCAAATGTGTCTTTGCCGGGATCGAACCCGGACAATTAGAGCAGAAACCAGCATGGTACTGTCGTAGCATCCATCTTTCAACATTGCTTTGATATAAAGCCTCCTAGAAGATAAGGGAATACCGGAAACTTGCCTAGGTGGGAGAGCAAACCACAGTATTGAACCAACTTTCAAAATTGTATTTCAATTTAGCGCAAACAAAATGTCAATTCTTTCATTAGTACAATTCTAAAAGATGGTACAACTGTCCCACTTAGGCATGTCTCCCTGTTTTACCCTATATGTTATGATTCCTGATGCAAAGTTACATCATTCAATATCTCATTAGAATAAGCTGATATAGATAGCTGATATTATACACTTAATGATAATGAATGATAGAACATATCTTTCCATTAAAATTTAAGTCTTAAATTGAAGCAATATTAACTGCATAATGTTTCTTTCAGATAAGATTTCCTTTTAAGTATCGTCACGTTCCATAAATTAAATTCAAGTTTGAAGTGAGTACATTTTATTGCCTTTGTTCTGAGTTCAACAGATTGAGATAATCACTTATGCCTTTTTAAAGTTCAGTGTCAAGTTCATGAAAAATGTTGTGTAAAAACATTCTTAACATTCCAAAATATCATTTATCAACCTACATCTTTCAATATTTCATTAACTCTAAGTAATAGTTGCATTAAAACGTGTTTAAAAAATGATGAAATTAACATTATTTTGTCATAACGTTACGTTTTCATAAGGTGTTGCTTCATTACTGTCAGTTAGCCTTCATTCTATCTCTTTGTACGTGCCAATATTGTAGGCCGACGTGGTTTGCATCGCCAAACTCGATTTATGTCACTGGGTCATAGAGCAGATAGAAAAGGAAACAACAATTTCACTTCGATACGAATTTCTTATATTTTCATAGAATACATTTATCATCTATGTCAGGTAATAAAATCGTCCGCTCGGCGGAAAGGTACATGGACATTTATAATAAGTTAACTTAAATCTAAATCAGTCTAACGGTCGCCCCGATAGTGGAGCGGCTTATCCTAGTATCACAGATCAGTAGAGCGGTGGGGCGCGGGCCGAAACGCAGCCGCGGGGCGCGCGGCGGCGCGCTAGGCGGGGGCGGCGGTCACTCGTCCGACGCCGACGACAGCTGCGTGCTGCCGCCCGAGCTGAATGAGCCCCTACAGGTGGCAGCATCCGAGCCGTTTCCCGGCGCCGGCGCATCGCCCGCACCGGTGCCCGGTGACAAAGTTCGCAACAATTCCAACGCGGCACGCGCACGCTGCCCGTCCGCAGCCGCGGCAGACGCGGCGCCAGACGCTCGCTCCCACGCGTTCTTCTCTGGCAACAGCAAACGCCTCGCCTCCCTCTGCACGCGGCGGGAACGCAACGCGAACAGGAACGGAGAAGCGGCTGCAGCCAATAGCAGCAGCGCCAACGCGGGAGTACGCACGCACTCGGCTAGTCCAGGCACTGCGGCCGATACCACGGCAGTCGCGGCATGAGGAATATGTAATATCACTAACGCACCCGTTAATAGTCCAACACGGGCCGCACGAGATTCTTCCCTATATCTAAACAATGAAGCATTCGAGATTCTGCACCGAATCGAAGTAATTCTAGAGCCACTGTGGGATGGCTGCGGTGTACGTGGTTGTACGGCGAGCAGGGGAGCGGCCAGAGATGGCGCAGAGCTGACTGCCGGCAATCCTTTCCTGAGATCCTCGTTAGATTTTCCCTCTTTTCGTGCATTTCGGAGACTCGCGACAGAAGGACAACGAAGCGGACGCTCGGGAGGTAGCAGGAACGGGCCAAACTTGCGATCTGGCTCTCCGGACGTAACATTATCTGGTGCATCCGGCACATCGATTCTCAAAGTCAACCCTTCGGCTTCTTCGACTAATTCTGGTAAGTGTGTGTGTGGCTCATGTAGTTGCAGAGCACTCGCTCCATTCGCTCTTGCTCGGAGTCCGGACGAACGTGCCGCTCGGTAGATCCTCGCGTACATCACGCAAACTATAGCAGCTGGGGTAAGGACTCCCAACATTAAGTACACGATGTAGTAAGCGAACTCGACTCCCTGGACTATAGGCTCGAGCGGGTAGAAGTGGCGGAAGACCGCAATGGCTGCTCGAATAGTCGCGGCGCCCGCGGCGGCCAGCCAGGTCGCTGCACATAAGGCTGCAGGGCGTCGTTGGAGGAGACGGGTGTGGCAGCGCAGAGGGTCAGTGACCGCGTGGTGCTGGTCGAGCGCGATCAGCATCACCGCCAGTAGCGCTGCCAGACTGCACGCTGAGGCAGCGGCGTCTCCAGCCTCGACCCACGATGCTACGTTGTCCTTGGCTGAGTGCTCGCCAAAAAGCGCGGGCGCCAGCAAGGAGGTGGTCAGCAGATTGGTTGCCAGCAAATTGATGACGAACCTGCAACAATAGAGACGCACATAAGTACACATGGCAATGTTTACCAGGTCATGTTGACTCGGCCGCAGGCGTGTTAGTTTACGAGACGCAGTTTGCGCAAGGTCATGCAAAAGCTTATATACAGCCACAAGACGGTTGACGTGTATTTCCTGGGGTTTCATTCTGTATAATTTGATTTAACCGCGATTAATTCTCATTGTTTGTTGATGGGAAGCGAAACAAATCCTCGATGTTCGAGGTGTGTTTGCAAATCTTGTTCGAGTTTCAAATGCCAACGCACGAGTAAAATAGATTCTTTATGTGACCCACGCAACATTCGAGGAATGTTCTTTATCAAAGCACCCTTTAGGTAACTGCCACAAAATAATAAAATTTCCATTGGTTTTGAGCTTTATTTGAAATACAAGATATGGATCTCATTCACTATAGAAGTAAATTTGCCATATCAAACTTACGAATCATAAAATACCTAAAAAAAATGAATTTGTCATTAGAATTAACTATCATGTAACAGTTTTACACTAGGTATATTGATAGAAAATGAATGAGCATACATGCAAACGTAGTGTTTATACGCAACTTAAGAGATTAGTCTATCAAGTAATGGCAAACAACCTTTAAAATTATTAACAAACAAGTCCCGAGTCTTTAAAAAGCCATTAACCTAAAAACATGTCCTGCCACTCACCTCAATTTGGAATAGATATGTATAATATGTGATGACGGAAGAAAAGTGAGATTTTATCCCGACTATATCTAATTTTCAAATTAAATTGATAAAAAATAAATACAATTAAAAGCAACTCGATGAACGAACTATATAAAATGAGTCGTCAGTAACAGCATTTTTTTTATCTAGTTATTTATATTTGAGCAGAAAAGAGGCAACTTTAACGCAAAAAACTTTAAAAATTGCAATAGATTCAATTTCCGATTTATGGAATAAAACTTTATACATATTTTACTTCGTTTCATTCTGAAGTCGCTGATAAATTCATAAAAAAAAACATTAATATTACATGTATTCGTATCCCCCATGTTTTATGTTAACATAAAACGCCATAAAAACGTTTCAATAAAAATAAATTTATGTTTTATTTTGAAACGTTTATAAATTTAGATTTCTGGAAATATTGCATCGATTGACATTGGCTTATATCATTGCCAAGGGAAGGTGAACATTTTATAAACAGAAAAATCAAAACAACATCATTTTTTATTAAAAATAAATTGTATATTGTTTTTATTACCATAAACCTAGACAGGTATTTCAAATTCTCGTATGATTTAATAAAATCCTAAGTACTTTAATATAGTTGTTTGTAAGCTATTTTTTTCTTATGTATTAAAAAAATTGATGCTAGACAATGTCTCCATAGCAACCTTATGTCATGGTCGATCTTTATTAATAGGCCTTAACCAGAATGTTCCTGGGATATATAAATAACAAATCGTACCCTTGTGAATACACAAGTGATGACATTGAACAATCGACCTTCCCCCATCGATGTATATTTGAAAATCAAATGCGATCCTTTTTAAGTTGCACATAATGCGATAGTTGTATGTATGCAGTTTTTCCGACGAACGGGTAATTATAATAAACGGATATGTGTTTGCAATGGATGGTGAATTTATGAATGATATTGCGCGATTTTAAAATCAAGGATATACTGGAATTAACTGAGCTGGGATGTTCATTTTAATCACCTCACTATGTAAATAAAATGCAGTTGAATACATGAAATTATCAGAAGTGATTTATGATTCAAAACAAAAGCGACATTGTATTATGAGAGATTTAAAAGGAGAGAGGTGACCATTATTTTTTTATTATTGTTAAAAGTAGAAATCTACGAACGTACCCATCTTCAAAACACCTGCGTCTACTAGAGAAGCATGAAACTTAATTCTATTATATAAGTCGATAGAGATTTTTTTTTAATCAATATCATCAAAGGTTTTTGGATTTTTAAGTGCCGTCCATGAAAATAGTTGCGGATTCGAAAATAAAAAAAAAACAACAACAGAACACTAATAAACAAAGTGTTTGTAACCAAAATTCTGTTAAAGATCTCACACAAATCTACAGTAATTTTGATAACTGTGTCGAGGCCAATTATGACCATGAGTGGTGCCCACGACGAAACTTAAAAGCGCATGAAACCTTAGCCTTTGTTTCGTTCTTAAATTCGCATGAGTTTCAAAAATAACCTCTAAATCAAATTTTACTGTATAAAAGTGCCTCAGTAGCGTCATTGAAATTGTAACCGCAATAAAACAACAAACCTGAAGCCTTGAAATAGAATGTGTCTAAACTAGGTGACCCATTTCTAATATACTAAGATTCATAATTCAAATCTTTCTCTATAAATTCGTCATTTTTGTTCGGAAGTCTCGATTAACTCATTCTAAATAAAATATGAGTAACGTTTTGCTATCCGGTGTTAACAATTTTTCTTTAACAGCTTTATCTTCACTGCCAAGAAACACACGCAATATTAAAGCTGATGACAAATATAATATATAACTGTACCTATTAAATGAAAAATCGTACCTACTAAAATATTTCATCGCACCTTAATCTTTTAACGTTTTCGTTTGTACTAATTTTAGATCTCACATTACACTAAATATTATGTTAACACCTGTTTCAGAATAAGGTCGAATTAAGAAATAAGACCTTTACGGTTTTCAGCGTGATAGTTAAAATACACAATTTGTACAGTATGTAAACACAAACAAATACTTTGTTTAATGCTCAACTACCTATTAAAGGCCGTATGAAGCAAGAAGACCTTAAAACATCCACACATTATTTCATAGAATATAAACAATTGATGCCGAAATTACAAGGGCTGCCTGCACCAAATTAACTATTCCGGTATGAGCGTCCTAATGTTGGCTTTAAAGCGTTTTAAACGAGGTTATATTTAAAAATGTGTAAGCGCAAGGCCGGGGAAACCCACAGAGTTTGCTTCGTAAACTTGTTTTGGTGTTAAGACAAGTGAACAGACTCGGTCAACAGATTTATTCTTAGAATATTGTTTGGTTGTCTTTTGTTTATTACCAATAATTATCTCACTTTTCATATCAACAGGTGTTCAATTTCATTATTCTTCGTTATGTCTATAAAATATTTAAATTCTGTTCAATTATGTACAAATAGTTTAATAACAATAAAAATTATAATGCTTAGCTCAAGTAGTGTAACATTTTATTTATCATAGTATTAAAGGATATAAGTAAATGATCAAATATGCGATTGTAAAAAAACAGTGATACGACTGCAGTTTAGTCGTATAAGACTCAAATTTTAAAAATAACAAAGAATTGTGCTATTTTTAAAATGATGCATATTTCATTGTTATTGTCATTTCAGGTTAAGGAAGTCGACATTGCCAATGAGATTTTGTATCTACAGTACATGTAGTTACATACATTGATGATGTTGCATGATTTCAAACCGCAAATATCTTGAAAACCGCAATATTTTCTATACATACAAGTATATCAAGGTAAACTGGTGCATATCAAATGAGACGTAAAGAGAACATAGTTAAGAATCTTTAAACAGATTTTTATACATATATATGTGAATCAGAATTATTTGATAAAGATGATAACTTAAAGAATAATACAAAAGATGTTTTGTATAGTAGTGATTCCAGGAAGCGAATGCAATACAAATCTAAGCCAACCCACTGTCTTGGAATTAATGCAACAATTAAAACACAATGGATAACGAAGTCTAGTACAAACGTATGATGCCTCTCATTAATTAATAGTTCCACTTTGCACAATCATTTGTGGGAGTTTAAGGATTTTCCGTTTGATTCTTAAGTGCATCCGTGTTCCTTTTGTGTGTGATGTTAATTACATAACTGTCATGTGTCAAATCTTTATCAGAGCGTGCATTGATATGACGTTTGATTCAATTGTTTTAACCGCTTAGAAAGTTCTGACTTTCTCTTTAAACATTTGTTGATTGATACATCAAACAAAAATTTTTTGGGACATTTAATAATCTATGGAATTCTCAATTTTGCATTTCATTCATTTAGTAGCTTTAGTAAAATTAAAATCTTAAGAAATCCTTTGAATGGCATCTACAATTTTTCGAAAACCAAAGAGGCCTACAGTCATTATGATTATATCGCGCACACCAACTGTTTACATTAGAAACAATAGGCATATCCCGACCTTGCTTTTAAAGGGCTTACCATAGCAAACCTTAAATATTAATATGTTTGCATCAACGTGGATGCGCTGAAGAATATTCTAGACTAAAACATTCACAGTTACTGGGAGCGATGCATTTATTATTTATTTAATCAGTTTCGATTTGAATGTAAGATGTTATAAGATGCATGTAGATTGCTTATATTCATTGGTTTTCATAAGAAAGAATTTCAAGGTAAAAAAGTTGCCGTAACAAATTGTCAGGAACAATGCTTTGTCGGTGCCAATTCCGTTTCCTATGACGCGTTAGTGTCGTTCTAAAAAAATGGAGGCCCAACGATTGTGCGAAGGTTTGGCGAAAATGAACCATTGTCACACGAATCAGGTGGCGAAACGTAATTAATTTAGAGCCATTAGTGTCATCGATGCCATTAAGCTGACATTTGTGAAGACATAACAGGTGTACCTTTTAAATCAACTCATATGCTTGCTGGACACATTTTGAAGAAAAGTAAATAAGAACAGTTTTAAAGTTGTCAGTTTTCATCTTGGAAAAAGAGATAATTGAAAACTATTAAACACACCATAAAATGCATACACGAGCGTAAAAGGTAATAAAGTTACAAATTAAAATTGTAAATGATATGTTTATGCACGTTATTTTTCTTTTTCTCTATTAAAAAATTCTGAGTGTTTAACCCAATCCACATACCTTAGGAAATTACCAGCCGGTTAGTTTGAATGCAATGTGCTCTTTCATACCTCGTTTAAAGGACCACTTAAGCTGGCAGAGAATTGCGTATTTTGATTTGCGATAA